TATCTTTTTATAACAATTGCTTTTTATCTATTTGCTGTTTTCTTAATTGCTGTATGCTGCCCGGAGTCACTTTGTGTGAGCTGGGCAGCTATATAAATGTGACAAATATATAAATAAATAAATAAATACATACATACATACATACATACATACATACATACATATTTAACTGTATTAAGTTGAACAAAATCAAATAACATTAAATTTCTACTGTGACCCTATTACATGTTATAACATCTAAATAGAGTCTTTAGTTGCTCAAAAGTTGTGCATCCCTGGCTTTGAGAGCATCATGGGTAACACAACTGATACTCTTTGCCTGATAACCAATAACTGCTACGACTCCTACTTTGAATGTCATTAGCTAGGATGAGGAAATTATCTAATTTAGCATCGCATGTTCATAATATTCTTGAACATCAGCGCATATTCCAGAGCAGCTGCTGTGCAATTAGGCTAGCGCAGTGAGCCCAGTAACTTTGATCAATGACAGATATGGAGAGAAAAAAGCTTTTCTAAAGTATATCACGTGGCTGTTATAGTTAGAAGGATTGGGGGGGAAAATTAAAAAGCAGAAACCTGGGCTGAACATAAGAAATCGGAAACCAATACAAGCTGGGGATTTTTTTGGTGCGGGGTGGGGGGGAGAGGCTATTTGAGTAACTTGGAAAACATTAGATTTAGCAACAGAGTAATATCTGTCCTATCCCCGGAACAGATGGTATTGGATACATAAAAACTGCAGGAACATGTCAATTATAGCATTCTCAGATGGTCCTCAAGTGATCAATTCTGATTGGTTAGGTATTGTTTTAACATCACATTCACAATAGAATCCCTGACTGGCTAGAATGTAAGAGGGAAAAAAGCTTTCAATATGTGTCCAGATATAAATTAGAGAGAAAATGGTTGTGAGCAAGTGTAAAGGAAGGTGAGCATTTCTAGCTTCAGGATTAAGTTTCAATGACTATATCAGGGGATGCAAAGTCCTAATTTAGTCCAAAGACTAATAGCGTGTGGCAACATCAGGCTTGGGGGCGAGCTGGCTGGAAAGCGAAAAACCTTCATTGCATCATGCATGGATAGCCTCGCTGCGTGAACCAGGCAAGCATGTGAAAAACAAGTAGACGCCACGGCCAAGCCAGACGAACCCTGAGAAGATGAACAGCAAGAGCAAATGAATGTGTGGCATAATCCTCGTTTCAGCACTGCCTGGCATGACATTTCAAATGCACCAAAAACTAAAAATTGCAGAGATATGGTCAGAAGGATAAATCAACACATATACAATTTCTGAACCACGGCAGCCACAAATAACTTTGGAGCAATTTTTTTCCCAGGCTCTATCGCAATCATAGCTTCCTGGCTGAATAATGAACAGTTTACTTCGTGAACAGCACCCACCTTGATGTAGCGCCTCTCATAAACACATCCGCACTTATCCATAGGCACACATTCCTCCCCGTCAAATGCATAGCCGTTGTCACATTCGCAGCCTTCAAAACATTCTCCTGTGCAGTGAGTTGGAGCAGATAAGGCAGCACAGGTGAAATCACAGGTTCGGGTACACAACTCATAATGACTGTTAGCCGGGCAGGGGAGAGCTGAAAAGGGCAAGGCAATTTGCACACAAAGAAGGTGGAATTAGCCACATTCATTCAGGTGGTTCTTAAAGTTCTTTATCAATGCTGGCATCACATAGCACTGCAAGTAGATCGGTAGATCTGAGATACCTTCTGGAGAGAAGACCAAACCTGATGTCTCTGATGTTTCACTTGGAGCTCAAGGCAGATTGTGTCACTACTGATAGTTGAAGTGACATGCCAAAGTTGATTGTGTTGTAGGAGTTCTCTGAGCATGGTTTTTACTTTGAGACCTTTCATTAATGTCTAGGTAGCATCTTCAGTGTTACCTAGGTGGCTAATGAAACATCTACAAGTGAAAAACCAAGCTCAGAGGATTCCCATAATCCACCCGCCCAACCCTGAGTTACCAATATTCTCTAACACTGCAAAGTACCTGCTTTGCGCAGGCCCAAGGTACAGTATTCCCAGTGTCTCTTTGATACAAATTTGCATAAAGACCTTGCCTTGGAAATATAGTGAGAAATAACCGCCAAAGAAAAGCAGTAGTTAAATATCTCAAACTTACAACAGAAGGAGGCTGTTCTCCAAGCTCCAACATTGGCTCCAGCTAGCTGGCATGCAACTGTATAGGCCTGAAGACTTTGACACAAAGTTTCTCCTTCTCCATTAGTCAAACACATGTCATGGAGGCAATGTCTTAAGTAGTCAACAGGGCTAACCAATGGGTGGCAGTCTTTAAATGGACCTGTCTTGCACTGGATCATTCCACAAGAACTCTCAGCTTCATATGGTGCTGTCTGGATGGCATTGCAGGTGGGGCATGTCTCCCCACAGCCATCAGAGCATGTGACGCCATTCACAGGAACTTTCCAGGAAGCACCAAACTCATCCATGCTTTGAGTTACTTTTCCATTAGGCAGCATAAAATCATCACTCTGATCACTATTGAAGTTGCCACCTAAACCACAGAGGTGCCCATGATATGAGCTGGGGACTGACACATGAACATATGAAGAAGTATCATAGAGCACTCTGAGAATAAACGGTGACTGGACAATGATGTTGTTCCCCTCCTGTGTGATCCAAAGCTTCCCATCAACTGTGCTCATTGGCAATGTATAGTACTCTCCATTCATCTGTATAAAAACACAGTTTATAGTTTAGATGAAGGGTGTTAGTTCTAGTCACACTTGCTTAGTTGCAGCCACCTAGGCATATGCAAAAATCTATGACACACATGTGAAACATTTACATTTGTGAGCAACATCAGGATCTGTTATACACTCATACTAATGTATTAGGAACGTACCATAGCCTTCCACTTTATTCCCCTTTCAAGGACAATAGAATGTCCTTGAACTGAGATCATCACTTTTCTTGTTATAGATGCATGCCAGTGTTCAAGCTTCTCATTCTCCACCAGCACAGAGAATTGCACTAATCGAGGATCCTCGCTACATACTTTGGTTAAGATGTAAGTGCAAGAGCCATGGAAATGAAAACTTCGCCCATCAAAAGAAATGTAATGAGGGTCACCAGTAACTATAGTTGTTACATATCCCAGAGGATGACAATCTTGGATTCCATTTTCCATCCTGCACACCTCATAAGCACCACAAGAGAATTGGTGGCACTCAATGGCTCCATTGTCCATACAATGACACTTCTCCTCGCAAGAGCGGGTTGGGTAGAACTCCTCTCCCTTTTTGTAGTATCTGCCCTGATGCATACAGCCACACTCAGCGAGAGGAATACATTGATCTCCACTGAGAATGAATCCAGAGTCACAAAAACATCCTTCTACACATGGAGCTTCACATGTTTCTGAGGCTGAATGATTATGACAAGTGGCCGGGCAGCTATTTCCACAGAGTTCATAGTGGGAATTATGTGGGCAGGGAATGCCTGGAAAGAAAGAATGGGGAAGAAAAAAAATAGGAGATCTTCATATTCTAGCAGGGAAAACACAGCATATTCCAAACCATAATAGCCCCAATATAAAATGTAATGCCCTTGTAACTTTGAGGAGGGAACAGTCATCAGAGAAGAGGGATGTGTTACATGAACATTGGCAGGGGGCAGTGATGTTACATGTAACATGACGTCATCATATGATGTAACTTGCATAAGTCACATCATTGTGATTCTATCGAATGCCAATATGTTTTTTTTTTTCTGTGCCATCACAATTTGTTCTTCCCCTGCAAAAGTGCTTTCTGACTTGGTTCTCTAGGTTCTTCAACATCTCTTTCAAATTTCTCCTGTGGTGCTTTTAATTGACTTTACTGAAGCACAGAAAGTGTTTTTACAGTTTTTT